AGAATAAGACACTTTTTGTGGGACTTTTTGTTGTTAACTAATTATATTTAATCTTTTTTTTATAATTGGCGGTGGTTATTCGGACTCTAACTCCAATGCGGGTGCGCGATCAAAGGGTGTACCGGATGTGAAGCGTACAGTACAGACAATTCCACTTTGGCCTTCTTCGGTTTCTACGATCTGGCCAAGTTTTCGACACCAATTCAAACAAATGGGTCGCCACCACTCGGTGAATTAGCGACACTTCTGTTGCCAGTTTGTGTTGACTTCCATTGTTATGGACTGGGTTTACAGACTGAGTTGTGGGCGGGGCGTATTGGCTATTATGGGTCACACGCTTCCCTTACCAGTAGCTGAAACTGTATTGTTACCCATTGGTCAACTTGGGTAGACATTGGGAGTGACCTCAGCAACATGACCGTTTCATTCATTGGAGGGACTGACAATAACGACAGGTGAATGAATTATGACGGCTTGTTCACAGCGTTACGGGAGAAGGTATAGTTCTTGACAAACCCCGGCCGTCCAAGGTAGGTTTGACTGTATATATATATTCTACAAAGATAGATAGAAATCTAAACGGACATTTGAATGTGTGAAAGTTGTTCACGCATCCGATCCGGACACTGGGGATTGCCTGTTAGTGAGACAACTTCCTGGGTCTTCGGCATATGGTGGTAGGGTGGCCATTTCCTTTCCACGCCGCCTTTACTTCCCCAACTCGGAGTCAGGTACCCATTACTGCAGAGGAGGGGGCGAAAAAATTCGTGTCTAAAACGAGGCTCGAACCAGGACTTTCCTATTCGGAGACGAGCGCACTAACCACTCTGCCACATTTGAATGTGTAACAGAGAAAATACCTCAGTGTCATGACCCACTTACGTGTCACCCCGGCATTCATTGATACTTCAACCATGGTGTCCTAATCACACGGTGCCATTCTCTCTTCCCCTTTTGATGAACTCATAAAACCAATAGAAACAGCTACAATTGTACTAAAGTGCAACATTATCTCCGCAGATCACTAGATTACGCAGCGTGTAATGACTGTTAGTGTCCCTGATTATAATTATACAGACAACTATATCGGAGACTGCGAGCTGTACGTTTAACAAAATCAATGTGATGATGTGCGAGGTGTCATGAAGAGATCACTTTTGATCCACGCTAACTTTGGTTTGATAATCCTTTTATGTGACTGAATGATTAGATACTTCCCTACTGCACGTAAAATCTTATACGGGGTGCCCACTGCGAACGGGATCGGCCGATCGGGCCGATTGCCCGACTCGATCGCCTCAAAAACAAACGTGTTTGTTTTCAGTTTCAGGCGATCCAGTCGGGCAATCGGCCCGATCCAGCTGTAGTGGGCACTCCGTATTATTAGGGCTTGATTTCTGGATGGATATTTTCTTATTTCTTTTTTCTGTTTTCTTTTACCTTCCATTTGGTGTCCTTGTGTGACATAGGCCGACCCTCTAGCCATACTCTGTCTGTACCTCTCACTCACTCTCACTTTCTCTCCTCTCACTCTCTCTCTCTCTCTCTCTCTCTCTCTCTCTCTCTCTCTCTCTCTCTCTCTGTGTGTG